CACTATTCAAGCCTACTGGTAACTAGTGAAGCTCGATGATTTGAAGAAGAGCTGTGTATCACACGTGGCAGGATGTGTGGTTCGTGCGTTCCTTTGTACGCCCGGCTCAAAAATATGTCTCATACAAAATCCCACACAGAATCATGCCCACTTGTTAGGGTCTATTCTTCAGTCACCACCCTCTAAGCCTAATTAGTGAAGTCTGATGACTTGATTTTTAACCTCCTGGATTTGAAGAAGAGCTGGGTACTACACGTGACAGGATGTGCTGCTCATGCGTTCTTTTGTACCCAGTGCAAGTACCTGCTTGAGAGATGCTTACAGCTCATAAACTCAAAAGTAATCCCAGATTGAGTCTAAGATCGTGTACATGTACGTCACAGGTATCACTAAGTCTTGATTAAAATATCACAATATGGATGGATGACATGCACACGTGCATGAATTTTTGTCCGTTCCCAAGAAAAATGTTTTCAACCATGCTGTTGATCTTACAAAGCAGCTGCAAAATGAGCAAATATATGCCATCAATTGCAAAAAAATATAGTTATGGAAATGATACTACAAGTATAAATGTCAACTTTAAAAAAATCAAAAACGGAGAAGAAGAAAATGTAATGAAATGAAAATGAAAGAGAGTCTGTTATTACCGTACCATACTCTGTATGTTACGGTAGTCATTTTCTCAACCTTCATGCCCACGTAGATTTCAAAATGGAGCCAACCTTTTTTGGCAAACTTTTTTTTATTCGCTTGAATGTTCGCATCAGGTTTAGGGTTCCCAGAGGATGTCATCCATATACATTGTAATTACTGGTAGCTCAACATGGCCTTACTCGGACCCTATGTGACCGGACACTGGCAAAAAGAAAATACGACTAGGTTAATTCCTAGTGGGCGTAGTGTGAGCAGCCTGAAAGATTGAAAGAGGCACGTTTTCCATCTGGGTTGCGTCAGTCGGCGAGCTAATGTACCAGAAACGCGCCCAAAAGGACGCACGTGTACAGGCTGGAGGTGAGAGTGCGGGGAAATGAAGGGGCAGATTTAGCGGAAGAGGTTCTGTCAGTGTCAGTGAATCTTGTTCAAACCATTCTTTATCGGCCTGCAGAGAAATTCAAATCAGCCTGCAGGCCACTTTTCATTGAGGTCATTGCACTCACTGTCCAGTTAAGCTGTTGTTCCATGTCTTCCAAGGTTTAGATGTGCTTGCACACCTTTGCAGAGGAGGGAATTGTATGATTTAATTTAATAAGGTATTAGTAACCACTTTCTGAATACCTCCAGGTACTGTCCGCTTACTCCCACTTGGCATATGCCAGGTCACCTTCAGACTTGACTGTCCTACTGTATAATCTGCCAAAACCACCTGTCCTATCATCTGCCAAAATCACCTCCCACCCAATCAAAGCAATGAAAAACAGACACACACCTCAGCCACCCAAAATAATACTCCCGCACCCAGAAGTAATGAGCATTGAAGGGTAATGTGACAGCGTTACTCCCTCTTTCGCTGACAGAAACAAAAGAGGCTGAAGAGTAAGGAAGGAAGTGCCTTGTCAGTTGTCAGGCACATGTACCAACTGTGATTGAAGTTCTCCAGACCCTAACAATGTAACACTGTCTACACTGTTTAAAGTAGACCTAACCTAGCAGCATCACTGCCTATGTTTACACTTCATGAACCTAGATGTGAGAGACATTGCTTGTCTGTTACTGTAACCTAACAGGATGTGGCTTGTGAACTAAGTAACCAGTTTCAACAAGCCAGCTTTGGGGTGTTAACTGGCCCCAGTCCCAGACAGTTTTTTTATTACATGAACTGCCAAAGAAATTGAAACCGACACTGTCAAAATTCTCTGAAACACATTACATTAAATTTTAATTGACAGGGCATGGAATGGCAACCCTCAACCCAGTTCACCCTACCAGTATTTCCTATGTCTGACCTGTGTCATTCTGCCTGTCAATCTTCCTCCTCCCATGTGCTGTCAACCAGCTCTGCCCATACACAAACCCGCCCAAAACAATTTAAACATCTGTGACATGTCATGATTTTTTTTCTCTTTCTAACATGTAGTTATGTTTACCTTCTCGGAAGGAAAACAATTGTTTTTGCTAAGTTCCATCTTCTGCTCCAAACACGGTGATATACGTCACTGTATGGTCAATGACATAGAATACAATACCTCCATACTCGGACGTAATCATCTGATGACACGTAGCCCTTGCCAGGACAATACGATCTCTCGTTCCTCACGAGGCATTAGCGCTAGATTTGGGCGGCCATTAAAGGGCACGACTTCCTGTTAGGGTTTTATAGGGGAAGTATTCCCATCTATTATCACTGGTGCTCCGGGTGTTAGCAGGAAACCCCTGTCAGATCAGATATACAAAGATGGAATACTGATTGCCAGGAAAAGTGCAAAGGGGAGTGGTTTGTGGATGAATGGAAAGCTTTACTCTGACCAAGGAGCTTTTGTGATGAAAGCTCCTTGCTCTGACCAAAAGTGCTGCCTGATTGAAGGGACATGGCAGGAAATTACTGTAGATCTTATTTGCAGTGAGAGCTTGATGGCATCTTTAATGGTTCAGTTCTAGGCAGGCCTTGCACTGAGGCTAATTAAAATATCGGTGACACTTAACGATTTTTTTCACAGTGTAAGTTATGTTTAGCTGCAGTACCTTCGCAGAAAGAAAAGATACAGTAACTGTTTTTGCTAAGTTTCTTCTTCTTCTCCAAACACAATAAGGTCAGTGATATTACTTGGACCAGATGGCATTCACCGCACTCACACAGCAACAGTGAGGCTCTTTCCAATAAATAATTATGAAACTCTTTCTCTGATAGGTTTTCCCCCTCTTGTTCAGGTACAGGTTCAAATCTGTACCTAAACCTCTGTGCCTGACGGTAAATTTATGTATGCAGCCCTACAAATCAGTAACCCCTTTCATTGATCAGCCATAAATTGCCCATTCCCACAAGAATATTTCAACCTCTCCGAAACCTTTCACTGTCTTAGGGTATACATTTATACATGTGTAATAAAAGGTGGTGCGAGTTACCATTTAGAATGCTTTTACTGGCCTGAGTACTGAAAAGCCCTGGATTAGAGGCAGTCAATGATGGATAACCAGTTTGCCCTTTGCAATGACCTTCTGCTCTACAGCACTAAATCGTCCATTCTTCACACGAGCTTGCGTCAACTTTAAGATTCCGCCACCGTCTTAGAGCATAGGAGTGAAGATTGACAGTCCACGGCATAAATTTGTACTCTGAAACCTTAGCCTAAGGCCATACCTGGTCCAGTTTAATTTGTTGGTTCTCAGATTTTCGCAGAAAAAAGTGACAAGGTGAAAAAACTGGCATACAATCCACCTCATCCAATACTATTGTACAGTAGATACACCGATTTGTTGAAAATTATCACGCACAATTTTTTTAAGAAAGCAAAACTAGATTTTGAGCCCTGACAGTGGTAACATAATATTACCAAACATGCACAGTAAGGTGGACGCTGGACGGTTGCATGCCGCCATGTTTGAGGCAGAATTGATTCTGATGGGGTACGTCATTTAGGTCCAATGGGCCTCGTAAAACAGTGATCAGGGTGGACATACTGATTTAGATTGCCATTCCTTATAGATGAGACGCTGCATGTCCGTAGTAAAGAGTGAATCAGTGCTGAAGCTGAGGCACTCCGGTAGCAGAGATTGGTCGTCACACGCAGCAAGATGTTTTAGGTCACAGTGATTTTTTTTCCTTGCAAGGGACAACAGCAGCAGAATACTTAAATTTTTGTAGTAATCAAATCCTGGATAGTGAAGTACCTACATGTACATGTAGGCCTCGGAAAAAAATGTTGTGTGTACGATTTCAGTCCTGAGAAAAGTAGGGTCACTAGGTAGGGATTCTTTTTTTGGGGGGGCTTCTTCCTGTTTTTCGATTTAAGCTGAAGTGATCCAACAAATACTGTTTTGTAACAAATAAATATACATGTAAAACTGAATTGCCTGACAGGACCAGGGCTGTTTCCAGGACCTAGGCTAGGGTTGGTGAGTGTTTGCTAGCTATAGGGTCGGTCAATCACAACCTGACTCTTCCCCACACACACAGACACACACACACACGTACACACACAGACACACACACACACACGTACACACACACACACACACACACACACACACATACATGTACACACACTCATACACATGTGTACACCCACACATGGGTTCAGTAAAACTACGGGTTCAGTAAACCTACTCAATTCAAACGCTTCAAATGAAATTTGCTTGTACTTTGTGCCATAATCTTGACACAGCGTCCCGACGCACGTACATGACATTTTGCACAGCGGTCTTTTGTCCGTACCACTGGTTGCTCCGTGGCGCTAAGTTGTGAAGCAGACAGCGCGGCACCACGCCACAGATTACATTACCGCCGTGTCAGGCCCCGTGTCTCAGCAGGCTTGCACGCCACACTCCAGCGGTCAGCTTTATCGGCCAGGCTGTATAGCCCTAAGCACGTCGGTATTGATCGAGTGCAGTTTGGTTACATACGGGAGGCCACACTGACTTGATTGTGTGGAAGACATCAGCGCGCGCATCAAATCTTGCATACAGCTGTGGATTTGTCTGTCCAGATGAAGTAGGTTGATGGTGCATGGGTGGAGGGATTGACAGGCAATTAGTGACAGGCGGTCAAAGAGTCAGGAAGTTGGATGTACTGCAGAGTGGGTTGACAGCACATGGGTGGGGGAAGAAAGACAGATAAACTGACAGGAAGTCAAAAAGTCAGACACAGAAAATGGGGTGAACGTGAATGTCCCAAAAGTCCAGTGTCTCAGATTTCTTCCACAAGGACCTCATCCACTACCGGGTCTGGTAGCAGATCGTGGGGAGCAAATGAAACTGGCCGAAACTCTGGCTAAGTGTTTTATAATGAGTTGTGAAGAAGTGCCTCCCATATTGACCTGCATGTCTTCTCTGTGTTGCTGCAGAACGTGATAGATGGGGACCTGTGTGAACAGTTTAACTCCATGGAACCCAGCAAACAGAAAAGTGTGGCCGAGGAGCTGGACAGAACACCTGCAGAGGTAAGTTATTTATCTGTTAATTATTTGTTTATCAATGTTTATCTGTTTATTATTTGTTTATCAATGTAGGGGATACAAACAGAATAAGACTGATTTCCCAGCCATGACCCATAAACAATTTACCTTTATTTAATCATGTCAGCCATCACTTAAAATACCAAAAGTCATGACAACCTGCCAACACCTTTCAGGAATTACAGTATTCTGCCTGCAGTGGACACTAACCCGGTAACATAAAGGGTAGAGGTTGATCGGGTGGTATTGGGGATGAATCTGAGCACAAATTACATTTTCCTGGGTCATGCCGTTCAAAGGATGCCACGATGCACTCCTCACTGTAACCCACAAAAATCAATATGACCCAAATCTGCACTCTGGCTTCTGACGGATGCTGAAAAATGCTCCCAACTTTTCAATGTGACCTACAACAGTACAAGACAGTCGACGGTTGCTTGCACATCGCTCCAGCTTCATGCGCAGTTGCATCCGGAAAATACCAGAACGCTGCTTTCGCAGTGTTAATTTGGGCACTGCAAGTGCGTCAGAAAAGTGCAAGTCTGGCATCGCCTCAGAATGCGAATGAGAATTGGGACGACTTGTGAGCACTACTGGTAATGGGCTGCAAATTGGCAAAGGCAGCGAGGCCAAATTCCCAGTGCATTTACTTCTCTAACTTAATTAAGACTTCTTGAACACGTTCCCAGTTATTATTTTTACATTTTGCAAAGCTTTCAGACTTCTTGGAAGCATCAACTTGGGTTTCCATGAAGTTATGGAAACAACGTAAGAGATTGCATAACACACTTAAAATGCCATCTAAAGTTTTCAAATATTGTCTTGAACTATCGTCTGCGCATCATTCTAATGCAACTTTGACCAAACATCCGAGGAACACTGAAATAAAAATCTGGGTTTTTGCAGAACGCAGGCACAGTACGTTCTGCCAACGTGCTGTGCATGTAATCAAGAAACAACAGTTAACCTGTATCTAATGTGTGGTCAGGTATAGACCCAAAAGGCAATATATAAGAGGAAGTACATGTGACATGTTGTTCCCTGTGGACAGTGAACATTATTGACAGGGCAGACGGTTAACCAATGGCTCGGAACAAACCCCAAATTCAATTTGTGTGGAACTCAGTCAGCAGCTATACATCCAGGCACTTCATTGTTGAGAATTCTCCAGGTTTGCGCTTCCAGAGAGTCGGTAATGAAGAATGATGGTCCGCAAAATATCTCAGGAAGAAAGTTCTGGACATCAGAAAAAATGTGAATGATGCATGTACAGTAACTGAACACTATATCAGATTCTGTATCTGTATCTGTATAGCCGGTATAACCGCCCTTCAGTGTAACACACCAACTACTAGTATATAATACTTAGGTCATTAAGATCTATATCTACATGTACTATCGTATATGTATCTGATGTTAAATGGTTGGTACTTGCAACATAATAGGCAATATTAGCTTTTGAGTCTATTATGTAACAGGCTCTGGGAAATAAATGATCATTCAACCAAATTGCTTAGATGTAATGTGTTAGATTGATGTAATATTATAGTGTAAAATGAATTAAGCCTATAATTTGTGGATCTTCACTGAAAGTAATTTTTGTCTCCTACTTGTTGTGAAAAGGATAATGTCACACTTCAATTCTAGTCTCCTTCATGAGAAAATCTAACATCCTAATAAAATTTATAGATATTTATGAACCTTGAATCACACCCTTCGAAAAAGATAGATGGACATTGTTCCAGTGTGTGATGATCCAAATACATTGTACTACAGTACAGAGTTAGTGACTCACTTCAAATCACCAGTGTAGCAGATTCCTACCAAACAAATTGTTCTTCTTCTTCCTTTAAAAGCCCACATTCATTATGCTGAAAAGTGAATATTCTGGCTGTAAATTTCTGTTCCACATTTGCCCAGTATTGGCATAATAATAAAGTGGTTTATTGTCAACTTGACTGAAATTGTCCACAGTTTGCAGCCACATGAGTGGCTGAATTGATATAAGGACATTACAATGATATACAAGTAGTAGACGTTCAGAATTACAACTCACACAGATACACTTTAAAATGCACACTAAAATAACGCATTAAAATAACAGTATTGATGATGTAAAATAACATAGTATTAGATCTTGTTTAAAATTGAAAAGTGCTTAAAATTTGGGTCGATTAAAAGTCAATATCAAATTCAATATTGCACGTAATACATTCATGTGGAGCGAGTAGTTTAGCAATCTACCGTCGGTTTGAAGAATACAAAAATGACAAAAGCGGTACTACAGTCCAGAGTTAGTGACTCATTTCAAATCACCAGTGTAGCAGATTCCTAGCAAACAAATTGTTCTTCTTCTTCCTTTAAAAGCCGACATTCGTTATGCTAAAAAGTGAATATTCTAGTTTGAAATTTCTGTTCCACATTTGCCCATCAAGTAATGTATTGGCAAAACACCGTCGGTTTGAAGAATACAAAAATGACAAAACGGGTATGTATGTTTAGTCGGAGGCGTGTTGACAGGAAAATGGATGAGAACCTTTGCCGCGACACTCTGGTTAATGTAAGCATAATAATGCCCGGGATGTAGCCGTCGTGCAGGGGGAAATGTCAGCTAATGCCAGCGAGATGATTTGCCAACGAAGGAAGACCTGGTGTCGTGCCGGCTTTCTTCATCCGACTGAATAGTAACGGATGTAAGAGCCTGGCCACAAATGCATCCAAATTAAAGCCCTATTGTTATTAGCAATTCCCCTACGTGAGGACCGACTCGTGGCATGGCTAAAAAAAGGAGAAAACGCGAAACCGGTTTTCAGTTACCACAGTGACTGTCGTTAGTGTGCCTTTTGTCCAGACCAATTTAGGATACGATGTAATTCGTCTGGCTACTTTGCGGGTTACAGCATAAAATCGTCAATTTCCCTTTGAAAGCCTACCTTTACCAAAAAAAAACACATGAAATTAAACAAAAGGTAACGTCCTTCATGAAGGTAATAGATTCTATTTCAGGGCTTGAAATCCAACCTGCATATGCAGGTTAGTGCGGGTAAACTTAGTATTTCTGGTCCATGTACTTGGTTTATTATACAAACGTGTAGGTGTATGACAACGCTTTTATTTGCTGCATTGACTGTTACCTAGCATTAAGTATGAAAGAAATAATGGCCATGCTTGCTGAACAGTTTTTAGTATGATCCATGCCTCCTAAATTCTGAGTGGTGCTGGTAAAATTTGTCTGGTGCAGGTAATTTTAGTGTTATTTGCACCAGTGCAGGTACATGTACATGTACATGTATGCAGAAAAAAAAGGATTTGGAGTCCTGTTAACTTCATTACAGTAGATAGATAGATAGATAGATAGATAATGGTTTATTTGTTCATACATACATACATGTACATAAACTAACATGTCAAACACATCTCACAGCCCATAGGCTGAATTGGGGTATTAACATTTACAAAACGAGGCTCAGGTTTTAAAAAGCTAGAATATCGCAATTTAAGACATAAAGGTAACAAGTCGTCATATCATTATATTAAAATAGAACTTAGAAATAAATCTCACATATTAAAAACAACTCTCAATACAAATGTAAAATGAAGGTAACTATAAAGGACATGTAAACTCTAGCAAAAACGGTAAAATAACAATGATGGAGTGAGGAAGGCATCGTCAGTCATGTAGAAGCGTCAGGCCACATCAGACCTGATACATTGCTGACAGCCTCATGCCAGCAGGTTATTGATGACACAGAGACTTCAGACTCCGTTTGTATCGATTATTTCATTCCGCACGATTAGAGCCAAAATTATTCCACAAACGAAGATGAATTATTGGATTTTATATACAGCACAATATTGTTTTTTATAGATGCGACTTAACATGTTAAGTATACAGATATGAAATGTACAAGAATTTTACATTCAAGTTGCCCAATGTACAAGTTATGGCATCACGTGGCCAGACCTTAGCGAAAATTGTAGACAGAAAATGGTTACTGGTACATGTATGATACTTGGCTGGTGTATGGGATACCACCCAAAGAATAAAGGATTCATCTTGGAGCTTGTTTCTGTACGGTTTAAGTTTGAAATAATGATGCAAATGTTGTGGGAATGTATATGTCAATATCACACATGTTGCCTTAATAAAATTTGATATTCAGAATAATTCCAGTAGTGTGTGACAGCTTGATAATTTCGGGTGCCTTTGAGCACATTTCATAAAAAGAGACTATCCTGGAGCAGTAATACCCACAGTACAATTGGCAATCATAAAGCTCAATAATCTTGCTCCAAATATGGTCAAGAAGCTTCTTAAGCACATTAAGTACCAGATAATCTGTGAGGAAGCCCATCAAAAAGAGGATGAACGCTCGTGAGGCACACCCCTGAGCGTTACAGTCCTGGTTTGAATGGAGAGTTATTTATACTCACCACATGAAACAGACCAGCGGAGCTTAGCGCAGGAGACAGGAAATTAAAACCATTCTATTTATTGTGGCAGGGATTTGGATGCAGAGGATGGGAACCAATTGCCGGATAAGGAATGGTCGTCATGGGAGGAATGACATGAAAGCAAGGCTCTAGCCTGCACCCGCTTTTTTCAGCTCCTGTCAATTGCAGGAACTTTGTGACATGTAATGCCAGTGAAGGAAAAGTTTTTAAACCAATCCTTGATGGACAAAATTGACAAAAAACCTAGGGTAAAAAAACATCCAAAAGACCACCAACAATCACTCTCAACCCCATGATTTGCACGAAACATAGTCAATTTTAATCTGTACCTTTGAAGAGCATGTCCACACAATGTCACTAATTCACACTCACTGTCCAGTTTAGCGTCTGTTGTTCCCCGTCTTGAGGCTTGATGGCAGCCCGCCAGTTGCCTAAGAGTCTATCCTGTGGGTTGGCATTATACAATGTACATGTACATGTAGCAACGAATCATTTTACCGTTAAACATTTTCTTATTTGGTAAGAATAGCAATGTTTCAGTGTTTGCTTGACAGCAATCTGACCTTAACATGTCTGCTTTGTGTTTCAGGTGTCCAAGAAGCTGGAAGACATCAGGACAAGATACGCCTTCTGATTCATCTGTATTCTGAGGGACCCACATGTTAGAGATGCTGTGACTTTGTACATTCTTTGTTAGAGGAATCTGAAGTTGAGATTGAGGGAATTTTTTACAACTCTTAAGTTATAGTGAAAACTAAGAGAAACACATGAATGTACCATACTACATGTAGTACTAGCTTGTTTACATCTCATAATTAAAATTGAACTTTAGCCCTCCTTTCTGCTAATAGTGAACTTGTCTTGACTTTGTTGAAAGGTAGTAAGCAACTTAAGTTGGTATTGTTTGAATTCTTAAACAGACTATGTTTTGTATATGGGAACAGTCTCTGCTGAGAAATAGGCATAACAGATAGAAATGTATATGAATATTGTGGTGTTAATGCATACCCAATATTTCATTTCTATGACATACCAAGACCATTATAGACATAACTAACTGTTATTTTGACTACATATATGTATTCCAACCAGGCTGCAACAGCCATCCAACCCAAAAAATTATCCACTTTGGTAATTTGTAATTTCAAACCACTTCAATGCAACAATCATTTTGACAAATTTGTGTACAATTTATGTTCATAAATCTATTAGTAATCTGTTAGTTTTATCTTAAAAGGGATAAAAGTCAGCTTATAAACATTTGGTATGTTAAAGTAATGCTACAGACTTCAACATGTAAGTAGAGATTGCAGTGTTTTGAAGAGTTGCTGTGGACAGTGACTATGAACATGAATTTTTTATCTATCCATAATCTCCATTAGAGAATAAGGGAGAAAGGGAGAAAATGTCTTAACATTCCTTTTGAATACACCTACCTGACTGCCTGCATAATACCTGTTGTTTTGTCGTAGCAAGTAGAATTTACTCTCTAGATGTAGATGTTAAAAACTGTACAAAGTGTTGTAAGGTGTTATAAAGAAGCTTGATATTATACATTACTAATAAGAAGCAAAAGTAAAGTACAAAAAAAGTTGAAGGTCTTAAACCTGATGTAGTGATATGTATTTTTTTTCATGCTATAGTGAATTTTTAAGACTCGGAAGCTAGACTGGTAACCAGACCCTCAAAATTCACCCCTCAAAATTCAACCTTTCTCAGGGGGTGCTGGACATGATGATGTTACATGGATGTCAAACAAAATTGAGATGACAGAAAAAAAACATCACCAGTGAATAAAGAGACTCTTTTTCCACAACCAAGTGTCTTATTCAGCCAATGTTTCGGTGACGGTCTGTCTCATTCCTCATGGCAAATCTGACTGCATCTATACCAGTGACACCTGTGCTGCAGTGCAATGTGAACCAGTCAGAATTGCCCGGAGGATGGTGACAGACGATCACCGAAACGTCGGCTGAATAAAAGACTTGGTTGTGTAAAAAGAGTCTCTTTACTCACTGACTTACCAACCTGATGAAACTATTTACGGATATACATCACCAGGTTAGTGACATTTAATACAGATTCTGAAGCCCAAGAAGATGGTTCCTAGGCTACATGATTGTTACCAGAATCGTGACAACTGTTCATTCACTGATGGGAAGCCATACATGTACTTACGCAGAGCTTTTGTGGCAATGACATTTTTCTACTGCTTTGTGTTTGTGATAGAAGTGTACATTTCAAGTTAGATTTTGTAAAAGGAGTATATACATGCAATATACCAGGTACGTGACCTGAATCTAATGTGTCCTTGTGTGAATTTTACTCTTCTCTAGCTGGGTAGATACATATTACATGGTACATATTTATCTATACATCTTTCACTTCAGTGTGAAATATTGATATGCTTATTAAGATATTAAAATTAAAATGGCATATTAAAATGCTGGGAGATGAGCACACCATGGTGGCCAATATTTGAAAAGATATTGTATCAAAGAAAACATGACGACATCCACGACCGTAAATTCATTTTGCATACATTATTCAGTCATAGGCACTGTGCAATCTGGCAGTATTTGAAAAGTTTTCAACAATACTGATGCCTTTTATTGCGTGCAACTGGGTGATATTTTATTTCGTTTTGTACCTGAATCTATTATCTGTCAGAAAGTAACACCGTCCTCCCGACGCTTCTTTAAAACGTGGAGACACAATCACACATAAAATCTGCTAGAGGCCCCAAACTTCTGTCACTTCTTTGTGAGAGCATTAGAGCTACATGTATCTACCACTCATAAATCATGATCATACCATCTCTTCCAAACCAGACAAAACATGAACTTCTTTCAAGCAACAGTACAAATGTAGTTTATGTCTTTCTCTGACACTCAAAAACGACTTGAGAGAAAGTTGGACGGCACCTACACAAAGCTGCTAGGTGCTACATGAAAATCGTCTGCAAGGAAGATCCCACAAAGGATCTGCTGTATGGGTAATCTCCAAGCATATCTTTTGTGGCTCGGCAAAGGCACTGAATCAAATTGGCCAGGCTGTAACCATTTGCCAAATGGTAACTGTCTGGCAAATGGATACAGCCTGGCCAATTTGATACTGTCTTTGCAGCCACTAAAAGATTTGCTTGGAGATTACTGTATGGGGACTTACTCCCCAAATCGCAAGTCACTCACGGAAGGAAGTTTTGATGGCAATTCATGCAGGAACAAGGGGGATACAAGTACACATGTATTATCAGTGATGTTCTCTGCTGGGCTCCAAAACATTGGCATGCAAGTGTAGGCAGACCTTGCACAACCTACTGTACATGAACCAACTGTGTGAGGACGCATGTACACCAGAAGATCTAGACCTGCCGATCGCCATGGATAATAGAGAGGGCTGGAGGAACAGGGTCATGAACATCCGTGAAACTCTCATGTCTAGATGATGATGATACACATGTATCATGTCCAGAACACCAGATGGAAGTGGCAGTACCTAGGAAAGCTGCCAGAGGGCCCAAAATAATTTCCAATTTTTGTAACAACCAACCAACACACTACAATGTAAATATGAAACCAATCCTTCCAGCCAGTTATGATCTTGATGACAGACACATACTTACACACACATACAACATACACACACTCTATTGTACACACACACACACACACACACACACATACAATGTACACACATACATACACACACATACATTTGTACAATGTACACACAGACTGATAAAAATATATCCTCCATTTTTCACGGAGGTAATCACACCTCCTAAGAACAATCAGTCTTAACCAAATCTACCTCTATCCTGCATCTTAGGAACGTGACACTTCTTAAACCCTTTTGGGAAATAAGACTCTAAAAATAGTCATCCCAGGGATGATACTGCCAAAGACACCCATACATTATCTGTTGTTATATTAGCTTAGTGTTCCTGGGAGGCATGTGTTACATCAGCATGACAATTTCATAACTACGTTTATTAGTAGTCCCTATATATCAGAGAATATTTCATGTACTACAGAGATATAAGATAACGAAGTCATGCATCAATATTTGTCATACTCAAAATGATGAACTGTCAAATTGGAGTTCCACGACCTCATACCTTTGCCAACTAATGTAGGACTGACGATAGACACTGCTTGGATACTGCCTTGCTACCGTAGGATCTGTTCGGAGATTATATATAGTCGGGAGATGTCTGTTATTTACTAACAGATATAGTAATCTCAGCAAGCCAAAAAAACGGCATCTCTAGATCTCGTCGATATATTTGTGCATTCATGACCTGTAGGCTGTACTTATAGCGCAGTGTTGGAGCATAACTTGATGTACAATAATATGAATTCATTCATACGTTTATTCATTCATACATTCATTCAGCCGCATTTATACATTCAATAATCTGCAACCCAGCCGGTAACGCACCATGCACATCACAACATCGTAGTTTTGCTCCATGAATGTTGATATACAGTGAAATCGTAACGGTGTTGTTTAAACGTATTATGTAATATGTGACTAGAATACTGACTTTGAAAATCCTGAGGGTTTCAAGTCCTACGATCGCTTTGGGCGCCTTTAACGAAAAGGCTGTCTCTTTCTTTGATCCCTGTCGGCGGTTAGTTCCGTCAGACCCTGCTTGCTTGAAAGGGCGACCTGTACGACCTACGAGCTGGCGAATACACGAAGCCCTGATTTCCACCGTTTTGAACCGTACAATGTCGCCCACGACTGCTACCAAATCATGAGCAGTCAGTCTGAGTTACTCACGTTTCATTCATTTTTACCAAGAACTCATGACTATGGAGTATTCGCACAACGTACCAAGGACGTCATGCTACAGAATAATTATAGGGAGAACATGGAAAGGATTCCTGATCCCTGAAACATTAGCTGTTGCAAAATTTATTAATGAATGAAATAAAGGGTAATATTGCATTCTTGACATCTTCCATACAGCCCGCAGTGTAAAATACTGATCAAGAAACATGAATGGGCCGGGTGGTGAGTTACGATCAGTCGTACGATTATAGAGGCGTACACAGAGCTGTACGTAAACGTATTACATCGTCGTATGTCGCGGTCTACGGACAGAGTGTACTACAATATTTAGTGACATCGGAAATGCTTGCCGATGCTTCTGTTGGCTAAGAAACATGTTTCTAACATGTATTCGACCTAATACAAGCATAAGCAAATCTGACGCCTTGCCCGATCCGGAGTCTGCAATGGCCTCCTGTAACCACTGGCTGCCACATGGTGGCGTAGTGGATACTGCCTTGCCAATTTGATACTGTCTTTAATACAGCCACCCAAAGATCTGCTTGGACATTACATTCGAAACTGAAATGCATGCCAGCCAAGCTGTCTCCAGGACCCGCCTACCTATGTTTATTTGTGACGAAGGGACAAATATTTCAGTTTCGATCGTCAATAAAAGAAAAGATTCTGAAAATGTTTGACGTAACGTTTTAGATGTTTTTGCAGGTAGATGTCAGAATAAAAATGTTATGGCCTTCCCAGGCTAGGATCGGTGGGTTTTCCCTGAGGGTGGGTCGAGTAACCAAAAATTTGACAATTTCAACATAAAATTTTGTTTCCTACGCCCGGTTTATGCCTAATGTCAAACGTCTAGGTATGGACACGTGCGGGTGTATTCACGTGTACGTGAGGTCCTTGGTCACAGGAGTCACGCACTAGGAGATGACACAACTTCATGTACGTCAATGAAACGCTAGAATACCATCAGCAGGTTAGGCACTACTAGGTACCGGTCTTCAGTCGTGTTTATTCAGTGCAGATTTGGAAACTGATTTGAAGGCATACCATGCAATTTCAGATTCGATTTTCTGGCCATTCTTTTATTGTAGTAAATTTGATCAGCCCTATCCCATAGCATACTGATATCTGTGAGGCAAATATGCTGTGTCGCTGAATGTCACGTACAGGCTGCACCATTTTGATGAACTGCGTTTTCCTTACCACAAAACGCACCAGGTGTTGCCTCCATCGCCTCCATCGCCCATTCCATGCCATTGAATTTCCCCAGGCCTGTTTCCCCGTGCCTTAGAATTCCCTTGCGACAATACTCCCGTGTGGAAACAGATAACAGAGTGAATGGGAACAGGTGTCGCCAGACGAGAATAGCTCCAGTACAATCATTTGACTCATTTACTCGGCCAAGGCCTTTTTCATGAATGGAACTGAGAATTATTATTGTGAGCGTTTCAGTTCTGGGTACAAATCGGTTTTGAAAAGCTGTAGCACACTTGGATTGTTTTTGATAGCAGCTGTTGTTGCGTCTGTCTAGCCTTGCTGAAATTCCGAGAAGTCAGATGAAAGAAAGTATGGGGTGAAATGTATGTTGTATCCATGCTCAGACACGGTTCTGGATATTCCACGCGTATCCAGAACCGTCCCTGGGGTAACTACGGTTCTTGGATACGCGAAGACTATCCTGAGCCTAACCTGGTTTATCCATTAAACGTTCATGCAGCTAGACACGTTCTGGATACGATAGCACATGATATTTCACTAGCTCGAAGTTTGTAAGCTTTTTGCAAGTATTAGTGTTTGGATGTTTCGTATCAATAGGGTTACCAACCTGTCGACGTTAAAATCACTATACAAATGTATATGAAAGATCAGGTTTTAGACAATAGCTTCAGCGCACGAGGTACATATACAAGAGACTGTTCGTGTCTTTTCCTTTTACTAGATGTTGAGACAGTGGCCGCTTTACCTCTGCACAGGTTGTCGGAGAGGATACAAAATCAAGTAGAGGACTATCAGCAACCCTAAGGATGGTCTGAAATGTGCGCAGTGTGACTCATCTCGCCTTGTGGACAAAGAAGGCAAAGATTCAACTAGCCGGGATGCCGATGATCTGGGCTTCCCTAACATTGATCCACTGCTTTTATTGATCAGAGCTAGCGAGCAGCTGTCAATATTTCCCGCACACACCCTCCTTTAGGGGATTGGAGAACTCGATATATAGATAAGCGTTTGACAAAGGCACGCCATTACGGACTTATGCCTACAAAACTCCAAACAGATATCTTCCCTTTGCAAAGTCGTGCCGGCCGGCCAAGACTACATGTACAGAGGTCTGTTGCATGGCATTACAAAGCGTGTTCCATTCTAAAACGTGACTCGGAATATTAAATGTTAGAACAAGGGCATCCTCCACCAGTAGATAGATTCAAACAGTTAGATGTGCAAAGGTTAGGTGTGACATTCAGTGTAATATAAGCAGCTCCTGTCGCGCTGTGTGCCAGCTACGAAACTGGAGTGTTGTGCTGAAGGGCGGTGTGTCTACCGGCGTAAGATACATGTTGTACCACAGATTGGCAGCGATGGTTTTGTTTCACACGGGAATATCTACTTCAGGCTCGGAGATAACCGAACATGATCGGCTGCCACGTGAAGTCCCAGCGGTATCTAATCTCCAGTTCAGCCATGGCAGAAATTGACCTCTTGCAAATAACCTGTCAACCTAGGCGTGATTTTTCTGACATGCAAGTGAGAAGGTTATGGCCTGATTCTGTCGTGTTGTCAAGTGGGTCTGCATGCATTTTTCGCCAGGCGATCAGTCACAAATTCGAATCAGGAAGACACCACACTCCTCTGACTGAGCAAAGAATCTGTATCTGTATAGCCGGTATAACCGCCTTTCGGCGTAACACGCCAGCTTTGCAGGCACGCGGCGCGGCGGCAGCTGGCTACATTACACCGATCGACTTGTTACACCTAACCCTTGAACATCTAACTCTAGACATATTTATAGTTTGGTAAAGTAGAAGACGAGGTACATTTTCTGTAGATTGTCCTTGTATGATAGAGTAACTTTTTCTTGATTTTGTGTCAAGTAAAGTTTCCCATTTTTGGTGCATCCATAGAGAAATTTATATTCCTTGCAGCTTTCGATAAACCAACTCTACTATTCATACAACCACCTACATTTATACAATTACTACTAGTATACTAAGAGGCGAAAGTCGACAGCACGCGTACATACTATGCGTTTATGCATTGTATATGATTGTGAACATGCAACCTATATGGTTATAAGCCCAGTGGTGCAACAACTTGTGTAGAATTAAGGGCTTCATTCATTCATTTGTCACCGTTAGTTGTTATCTAAAAATTATTTGCGACACTAGCTCAATTCCACATAGTACGTTATGTGTTGTTCTGAATTCATAGCCAGTGGAACTGCGCACTGCTAGTTTTTCCACCCAAAGGAGCAGTTCCATCCGGCTTTATTCCATTGATATTCTTCCGCACATTGACATATTTATTGGGACCGCCCCCTTTTACAGGTGTATTGCCTTTGTGACATTTAAATCATTGGCCAATCAGCGACGATCTCTTTGATGTCGTCAACCAATCAGATGACTCATTACATTCCCCAACATTCAAAATAGGTGCGCAGATCGAGTTGCGCAATAGTTGACCCAGAAAAATGTTGCAAATGGCGGCGTTGTGGCAACTCAGGGAAGACGTCCATCTCCGAGGGAGGACCGCTCCTCTATTTCTGCTAGTTACGGTTCAGAACTGACGCAGAATTCTTCACCATGTACCGCGGTACGCTTGTACCGAAGAAAATGGCACCTATCGGGACTTGACTTGTGAGAGTTTGCCAGAAAGCGAGCCGTCTTTTTTCGAGCGGCTGCGAGGATTCGTTTACGCTGGTGACGAGCTGCCAACACCGCTTCAACCTGACCACAGCTCCACTGTTTACTTTGACGTTTCTGGCAGATAAAGACGACATTTAGGGACGTTCCATCCAGGGTAAACTACAGAACTGGACACTACAGCACCATGTCTTCATACCGTTCAAATTTCAGGGCTGTGGACAGCCAGATAGCCGGGCTGTACGACCTGCAGGAAACGCTGGGCCGGGGCCACTTTGCGGTGGTGAAACTAGCTCGTCACGTCTTCACCGGCGAGAAAGTCGCTGTCAAAGTCATCGACAAGACCAAGATCGACGAGGTTTCCCGGGCCCACTTGTTCCAGGAGGTTCGCTGCATGAAGCTGGTGCAGCACCCGAACGTAGTGCGGCTGTACGAAGTCATCGACACCCAAACCAAACTGTACCTGATCCTGGAGCTGGGTGACGGAGGCGACATGTACGACTACATCATGAAACACGACAACGGACTTGACGAAGAGCAAGCCAAGCTGTACTTCTCTCAGATTCTCAGCGCCATCTCCTACTGCCACCGCCGCCACGTCGTCCACAGGGACCTCAAGCCCGAGAACGTCGTGTTTTTCCAGAAACAGGGCCTGGTGAAGGTGACAGACTTCGGCTTCAGCAACTGTTTCCGTCCGGGGGAGATGTTGGATACTTCTTGCGGGTCCCTGGCTTACTCCGCCCCCGAGATCTTGCTTGGAGACGCCTACGACGCACCCGCTGTTGGTAAGTTGTCATAATAAGGACCCTGGCCATGACATAATTTCGTCGTACGTTTGTCGTACAACACGAAGGGATTCTAGGACTAGTTGTGCGTTTGTCGTAAAAAAAAATCATCAGTTGTCCTGTCACCAAAAAATATCCCCATCCTTTTAATTCTGCCACATCCTGCATCGAACTAAATGTCTTAAAATAAAAATAATACAATGGCCTTCGACGGAGTTAATTTAATAATTGCACATTGTATTATTGTTCTAACAAACTGTCATCAGCCTTTTGGTGATTTTTACTTCCCGTGGGGACATGAATCCCCAGTGAAATCAATGACGCATCATGACAACAGGAAAATTGTAAAAAAATCCTTTTAACTAAAGTTGTAGACTCATTCCAAGGGTTAGGTATAGTAGAGGTACAAGTTTGCCTTTTCAACAGAGCAGACCGCATATGTTTTCACGGACAAACATCATTTATTTGTTGGTTCAAAAATAAAAGCAAAGGCATAATTATTATATAGCCAAAGTGTATCACAAAATCCCTAGATTTTACATTTTACAAATACATTTTTACAAGGCGTATAGTATGACTCTACATTATTCTACATTTGTTAATTCCTAAAAATAGTACAGTACTTAGTATCCTTCTTCTTCTTGAGTACTCTCTAACCACCCCTACTGGGGTATCACTGAGTATCCATACTTACAGAGCATATACTGGAACTGTAAGGAACTTCCAATCCACTGGCTGTATGTGGAAATTTATGCATGCAGAACAAATGTTAATCGATACAACACTACCAGGTACATGGATTTTCTAAAGCACTGCTCAGTCAATTGTACAGACCGCAATATTTTATTGATATAGCCCATCTGGTAAATTCATACATATATATTACACACACATATATACATGCCTGCAAGGTTTAAGTTCAAGGCTGTGACGGTGTTCCTTTCAGTGGCCGGTTTCTTTGCAAATGAAGGTGTAATTTATTACACCTTTTGTGTATTGTGGTTTGCTGAAGTACACCTTGCTGACTATAGTAATTGTCCCCAGCATTGTGTACAATATTTGCACACCTTGCTTTTGTGGCAGCCGAGCTTTAATTGCAGGACCGGTCCTGTCAAGCCTCTCTGTACAATTCAAAAGCATCCACGGTAAGGCACCATATCTCACTAGACTGTGATCGCTAAGTGGCTACATAGCAACCAGAATTGGATTTTTGGCAACCCCTGATTTTACAATTGGAATATAATATAATAAATATGCAAGATGGAAAGCTCTCAGTATCTCTAAAGCACCACCAACTCAGTTGGATGGTTCTCGGAATCGGATTCTTTGGGAAAAAATCTGAAGCAACAGGGCAGACAAAAAACAGGCCTAGGCATCCTACTAAAACTATATATATATATATATATATATATATAGAACATATCCGTTGAGTGGTCTGTCAAATATTTGGTTCCTCGGTTTCTAGTGGATACATGTGTGGGGCATAAAACTAGTGAAAAGCATCTACTTACTAGTTACTTGTTAATGAATCACAACGCGGAATTCCAGAAGTGGCAGCACTCCAAGCCATTCAGTGCAGAGGCACTGTCATACATACATGTGTAATTCATCACTTGTAGCAGTTGGCACACTCTCTCAATACATAAAATCAGCACAAGGCAAAGAACAAATGGCTAGAATATAGATGCCGTTACGATCTCCTTGGGTTTATGGGTGCGAAGTCAACTGGCAACCTGCCCTATTCAAGAAGAGAAGATTCAATATTAAAGTAAAATACAAAATTATGGACCATTACATCAAATTCATGTATCTGAAATGGTAAAAAAAGGAATTTCATAATAATTGTTTTGTCAGGATATACCGGCAGTACTAGTATGCAACACTGTTTCTGAAAACATTAAAATAAAATTCTTAGCAGACTTCAATTTCGTATATCCCGATGTATACTTATACATGTAAGGTTATAATGTATAATAATATACCAACACTTAAGTAACAGCTTGGTCAGGGTTGGACAAGTCCCATTGCCCACTTGCCCAGGGCAAGTAAAAGTACTGTTCGGGAAAGTAAATATCCCCCTGTACTTGCCCGATTGGGCAAGTAATTTTTTTGGATGCAAAGTATAGCCCCTGCAGTATTTCGACCAAGTTTCAAACAATTTTGATAAATCAAGCATCCAACAATATAATTATAAACTCTATTATAATAAAATAATTTCCTTTCTGCTAGTAAAATACATAGAAATGCTTCATATTTTGGGCAAGTGAAAAGTTGGTTCGGGCAAGTGGAAATGACCAGGCACTTGCCCGATACGGCAAGTGGATTTTTGAAAACTTGTCCAACCCTGTTGGTAGAACCACGTTCTACTAGTAGTACTGTGCCCCCCACCCCCAACCCCCACTCCGGAAAACTGTTGGACTGTTCCAAAATCATATCCCACCAGAGAGCACTTTCATATGTCAATTGGATAATAGTTGAAAAACATGACTCTCAAATCTTATCCCATACATATTTCATGAGGTTTTGTGGGACATTGATTGTATTATAGCCAGGAAGCCGAGCCAATCTCTGTCTGACAAAACCACTGACTTTGTTCTTGTCATTTTGAGCCTCTATTCATATTAAATATCATTGGACGTATATGAATCAAATTATTTAGCTGCTGGAGTTCGTGATACACCATTCATGCATTTTCCTTTCATGTCGTAGTAAGTAGTCATGTAACTGTTATAATTGGCAATCTCTTCATGAAGCACCCAAAGCGATTTCAGGGCTGTAAAACTGGATTTTCAAAGTCAATATTCCAGTTATATTTGTGATGAAAGTTGATTTGACACTCCTGTAGCATATTGATATCTATGAGGCAAAAATGTGATGTCACTGATGGCAAATGATTGCTTGCAAATAGGCTGGTGTAATTTAAGGACTCTTCACATAGCTTGTTGTGGGGCTATTTCAAATGCCTCAAGTATGAAATGATGATAAAAATATGGTAAAGAAATGGCTTTAAATTTCGATATCAGACAGATTTCTTCATCCAGGATATTTTTTTTTCTAATTTTGCCTCCCTGAATTTGCATTGGGTACCTTTAAAGGAAGATCCAAAGTGAAATAAAAACAGAAATTGTCAGTAATATTTTAGTCTTTTGATGTGACAGTTCTATGCTTGAATCGGTGGCATTTAAATTTCAACCATTACGTAATACCTGGAACAAATCCAATGTGTTCTGCACAAGTGGATGGAAAAATATGTCAGGTGAACAAGCAATTACAAAATAGAGGCAAAGCAATTGAAATAGACAGTCTGGACGTGCATGATTGATACATGTGTAGATCTAGACATGGCGACTGTCTGGCCCAGGATTGTAGGAGTGTATAACATAATCTTCAAGCAGATTTTTTGATGGCTGCAACATACTTTACAGTATCAAAATTCAAATTGGCAAGACATTATCAAATACATGTAGGACAAGGAAGTATCCATTTGCTAGCAGAGAGTGACATCGGGTCAAAAAAAAGAAAGCAGGAAATGTAAAAAATAAGCCAAAGCCTAAGTCTCTGATTGTAGAGTATGTATAATAGGCCATTATCCCGAGGGATAGGACTGGTGGAGTATTGTTATTATATTCATTCACTGGTAAGAAATACTGTACTGACTGAGAACATGCCCTCAAGATAGGGAAGCTTAGGCTTGTAATTAAATTACATGTAGATCCCAAATCCTTTTTCTTATTCACCATATTCCATCTATGTGTATACTATACATGGATGGCATATGTATCTTAAATTACAACGATGTGAATTATGATCATATTTGGCCATCATAAAATAATGGCAGGTTGGTATTTCTTTCAATCATATGGGAAAATTAATATCCTGAACTGTTCCCAAGAGACTGTCTACTGTTCTAGAATAATCAGTTGGCCTAGGAAAAGAAATGTTGTGTTTCTGGTTACCCACCTGACCCTTGCCAAAAAAAATATTGATAAGGTATCATGAAAATTACCATTCTATAAAATGATGATAGTGCAATGTACATGTGTTATACATGTATGTCCAACCCTACTGAAAAATGCCTACATGTATATAGATCGTAACCTTACATATTGGATGTGCATGTACAGATGTGTACATGGTAACCTGTGTAAGTATTGGCATCAGGTGGAGAGTTGGTTTTAATGGGTTTGATCTTTGCAACTTTGAGAAGTCCGGAAGTTAGGAAGGTCTGAAAACATGTCATGCATGTCACGATTATTCCCCCCAGGCAATTGCCATGCCCTACCCAGAAATATAGATAACGATCTGCAAGCTTTGGTAGCCTAAACTCAAGTTACTAATTTTCCACAAGAGGTACCTACCACCCAAAATTTGTGACCCCAGATCACGAGAGTATCAAGATCCACTGCAGTACCATAACAAGCCGCCAGGGCTGGAAAATCTAATTATTTCCAGAACTCAAGACCTACCTACATGTACCTACCAAATATGAACACAATTCCAAAACAGCAAGTAAGCTTTTTCGAGTTATCATGTTTACAGACATACAAACACACTGACAGACAGATACACACACAAATGCCACTGAAAACATAACCTTTTTGGTGGAGGTAGTGAGGGTTATCTGGTAAAGGTTAGACTTAGAGTACTTATCTAGTAACTAAATAAACAGTGTACATACAACAATGAGCTTTACCTGAAAATGTGTACTCTTACTAGTATTAGGCATAGCCAAGCCATTTTGATTTACCATAATTCATAGGGAAAGGTTTATTCCCTAATTATCACAAGATGGCCTCATTTCGGATAATTTGACTTCCTGAATTTAGTGTAAAAACTGTAATGCATAGCTGGTTATACTGAATTTCGTAAAAAAAGCGTTGTCATGTAGGCGCGCGTAAAATTATTTATTATTATTCTGGTAGCTCTGTGCACTGATTGTCAAATGTCTATCACACGCCTGGAGTTTGTAGCTGTGCTGATTAATTATAGTGTCTATGTTC